TGTGTGCTGGGGTCACAACAATGAACAAGATGGAAAGGTCCCTGTTCTCATGGATTTTGCATTCTAGAGGAAGTGGCAGACAACAGAAATGGGAACACATAGATCAGAGAATTTCAGGTATGACAAATACAGGAAGAAAATGAAATTGGTGGTTGAAGGTGACTTGAACAGCGGTGATCAGGGGACACCTCTGAGAGGGTGTGACATTTGAGCTGAAACCTGGAGGGTGAGGAGGGGCTGGTTATACAAAGGCTTTGGGAAAAGCATCATAGGCAGAAGGAACAGGAGGTACAAAGGCCCTGAGGTGAGAGTGAGCTTGACTTACTCCAGAAACAGCAAGGAGGCCAGTGTGGTGGGAGGAGGGGAGGGGAGGGAAAGAGAGGTTGGGGGGGTATAGAGATGGGCTGATCTTTATGTGAACATGTTTTTATTTCTCTTGGGTAAATAACTGCTTTTGTGGAATTGCTGAATCTCTGTGTAGTTGAATATTTAGCTTTATAAGAAACTACCAACCTCCTTTCCAAAGTGGTGGTTCTAGTTTACATTTCCACCAACAGTGTATGAGATTTCCAGTTGCTCCACGTCTCAGGGGATAGGGTCAGTCTTTAATTTCAGTCATTCTAGTGGGCGTGTAGTGGTATTTCATTGCTTGGTGTGTGTTTTTCCTGCTTTTACTTTTATTAGTATTTATTTTATGTTGAATTTACTCCCAGGCCACAAGGTTTTGTTTCTCCAGTTTCCTCTGGGACATCTTTTCCTTCTGCGCAGCCTCTCTTCTGGTTCAGGAGCCATCTGCTCCTTTTCAGGAGCGACCCTCTGTGGCAGGGGGAGCTCCCGTGGGTTACCCCGCCCATGAGCTCTGTAAGCTCCACGCGCATCTTGGGAGCTTCGTCACCTGGATGCGCTCCATGACCAGAGGATCGACATCTAAACCCTTAGGTTCAGCACTGCTCTGTGCATTTTTAAGCGTGTGCAGCAAGAATTCAGCAGACTTTTTGGGCCACCAACCCTGTGTCCAGCCCCACTGTTTCGCCTGGGCCACCTACCCAGTCTGTCACTGTAATGACGAATGGCACACATGGCCTCTGTAAAGTGACATCCTTCAGATACTAGGTGGCTTTTTGGATATGCATATCCTTGATGGCCTGGGCAGTTTCACGAGTGTTCTTAAAGTGAACACGAAGATTTGAACCTCTTGATTTGCATGATTTTGTGGGGGTTTCTGGGCCAAGTGAACAGTGAGCCATTTTCAGAGGTCACCTCTGGCTGCTCTTGGGAAGAGGAAGAGAGCCACTGTGGTTTTCGTTTGTATTTCCCTAATGACTAATGATGGCGAGCGCTTTTTCACATGCTTATTGGCCGTTTGTATCTCTTCTTTTGCGATATGTGCTAAATCTTTCGGTCATTTTAAAAATTGGGTTCTTTCTCTGGTTTTTCACAAAGCTTCCTCTTGTTACTGTGGGCAGGGTGGGCTGTAGGAGGCAGAAGTGAAAGCAGGGAGAGTGAGGAGGGCTGTCGCCTCCATGGGGGCAAGCTTGTCACAGGCTCAACACCCTGCCTGCTTTCTGGGAAAGTCAGCTTTGGCTTCCTCCAACTCATGGGCTGCTGCCAGGAGAGACTGAGACAGTTGCCAGGTCTCCTGGGGAGGAGGGGGTACAGCCCTGCTTCCTTGACTCTGGTACTGGGGAGGGGGCTGCCCCCAGTCTGCTGAGTACACCCCCATCTCAGCCTCTTCCTTTACCCATTGGAGTGGAGGCCATGAAGCAGAGACCAGCCCAGGCTGACGTTCTGTGGTCTGCACCAGAACAGTTCAGCTGGTTGCTAATCTGTAGAGATACTTCTCTTTTGGTTAGTAAAAAGCCTCTACCCTACCTCCCACAGATATCTGTCACCTCTTCAGTCCATTCCCCTGGGACACCTTGGATTTCCCCACATCTCAGCAATTAAAGGGGGGTTCAGGACTCTGACCCAGGCCTATAGCCACACCTGTTCTAATTGGATGGTGCCTGGGTGTCCTGGCTACCAGACTGAGTTCTGGGGACAGCCAGTCCTGGCTGGAGCTGGGAGGATCAGATCAGGAGGCTGAGACTGAGGCTGAGGCTGAGGGATTGAGGAAGGATTTTGACCAAGGTGAGTCCAGAACTAGATACTTAAAGTACTATAACAATAATGATAATAATTAACATTCATTGAGCACACAGAGTAGGCCAGGCAGACATTATTCTGATAAACTGTTAGGGTCAGAGATGTTGATCATGCTCTGTTGACCCTGATTGTTAGCTGTTGTTATAAGAAATATTAATCATGTTCTGTTAACTGTGGTTCTGTTTCAATCAGAAAAGGCACTTTCTAACCTAGCTGGGAGTTGTACGCCCCAGGACATGGGAGTCACCCTTGGGATGTGGTCTATTCTCCTTTTCTGAGAATCGCCTATCATCATGGAAAGATTAACAGCCTTGTTCCTGAAACTATGGAATCCTGGAGGCACCTCCCCTTTGCAACCCCCAGCCCAACTGGCCTACTTCCCCATGCCTGTAATTCCTACTTTCCCATGTAATTTGTCCTTCTACCCAATATAAACAGCTGGCTTATTAGGGGGGGTGGCAGGGCAGATTTTCATGGATGACCATTACTGTTCTCCCAATTTGCTGGAGATATTGGAATAAACGCTCATATATGATTCAACCCTGTCTCTGATTAATTGACAGCCCTGACCCATTGTTGTCCAGTTTCAAAACCTCACAGATTCTCTCAATAAACCACACCATTGCAACAGCCTGGCCTCCTCTTGCCCTTCCTGCACCCCAAAGTCTGCTCCCCATGCCAAGCCAGAGGGAGCCAATAAACACTGGAGTCAGATCAGGGTCCTCCTGGCTCAGAGCCTCCTCTGGTCTCTGAACATCCCTGGCTGACTGCTCCAGCCACCTTGAGAGGCCTGAGGTGCCAGTAGGGCCTGCAGAGCCTGTTCTCGCCACGCCCACTCCAAACCTGGTGGTGGTGATGGAGGTGGGGTGTTGGTTCTTTAGCAACAGGACTCAGCCAGGCCTGGGCAATGGCAGCCATTAGCAGTGTTAAACAAAACTTTCATGGCCGAAAGCTTTTCTGAAAGAAAGGTTTTACTGAGCCAAATGCTGGCCAGAAGAGGACCAGGTCCCAGGGCATGCGGCCTAAACCACCAGCAGCAGGACTAGGAAGAGAAGACACATCGGCCATCCCGGGACTGATGGGGCTTTTATATAATGAGTCTGGAGAAGAAAATGGCAGTTGTTTTAGAGAATTTCCACTGGTTACAGATAAAGAGGTGGCAGAAGGTGAGGCAGGGCTAGTTCGGGACCAGGTGCATTGTCCGGGAGGCAGAAAGATTTGCTGCTTTGGATTGGTGCTGGACAATAGTACGAAAAGTTCATGTGTAAACAAGAAGCCAAGCCTGCTGGAAGTTAATTCAACATACATCCAGGAATGCCTCGGCCCGTCAGCTGTTAACTGATTAACCTCTCTTGTCCCTTCCTTCCACCCATAGGCCTACTATAATTTCATTTAGGATGTCTCAGAATTTTCTCCTAGTCAGCGGCCACGCCTGCCTCCGACTGGGCTCTGACTCCTCCAGACTGGGAATCAGTCCCACTTCCCCCCTCACCTCCCACCCGCACCCCCAGCAACAGGACACTCAGAGTCTGTCCCATGACCAGCATCCAGTTTCCCCTTTTCTCTCCTTAGCCCAGGCCCAGGGAGCTGTGGGGCTGACGTGTGGATGGGGGAGGGGGGCTTCCGGCCGCTGGCCCATCCCCCAGTGCCCTAACCTCAGGTTCCTCCTTCCCCAGTGCCAACCCCAGCCATCTGCTGAGGTCTAGAAGTCCCTGTCTTCTCCTGGGTGGCCTCCCTCAGTCCTCGCTTCCAGCCACTTCCCCGTTTGGTGGGGCAGCCCCTCCCAGTCTAGTCACATTGTCCCCAGCCTGCCTCATCCCAACCCCTAATCTTGTGTCTGTGATGTGTGCATCTGTATTATTGTCTGCTCGTCTCCCTCTTTCTCTGTCTTACCATCATTTTCTCTTTCGCTATCTTTTATCTTGGCTCCTTTTGCTTTCTCCCTAAGGATCAAATATCTGTCTTTGGTTTCTGGGTTCTGTTTCCGCCTTTACTTGCTGTGTGACCTTGGGAAGTGTCTTTACTTTTCTGTAAGATGGGGAATAAGAGCATCTAGGTCAGAAGGGTGTTGTGGGGGTCAAGTGAATTAACACCTGGGACCGAGCACCTGCACGTTAATGCCCAAATCCTGGTGGCTCTCTCTTTAAAAAAAAAAATTAAAAAAAAAAATCTTTATTGATTTCAGAGAGAGGAAGGGAGAGGGACAGAGACACAGAAACATCAGTGATGAGAGAGTCATCATTGATAGGCTGCCTCCTGCACGCCCCCACTGGGGATCGAGCCTGCAACCTGGGCATGTGCCCTGACCAGAAATCGAACCGTGATCTCCTAGATCCTAGGTGGATGCTCAACCGCTGAGCCACACCCGGCCGGGCCTGGTGGCTCTCTTTTACTATGCTACAAACATCACAAGGTTCTGATTGTGTAATGATTATAGCTGGCTCTTATAAAAAGCTGACAAGTGTCAGTCCCTGTTCTAGAAACATTAATTCATTTGACCCCACAACTCCCTATGAAGTAGGTATTATTTTACCCCCCATTTTACAGATGAGGAAACTGAGGCCCAGAGAGACTGAGTGACTTGCTCAAGGTTGCCCAGCCAGGAAGAGGCAGAGTTCGCTTTATCTTCCTGTTACAATGCCTGGCCCCTGATTGGGGATGGAGGCTGAGTTGATATATGTACCCTTTGCCCTTCATGCCCCCCAAGGGGGGCTATAGCATTGCCCCTGGGATGTCTGGGCCTGATTCTTTCTGGTGCTATCTATCTCTGTCCCTCTTCCCCTATTGTCCCCTCCCCCACTGCCACCGCCCACCTCAGACTTCCTCCTTCACTTGGTTGGCCACATCCCACTGGCCCTTGGACTGTAGTATCCAGCAGTGTCGCCTGCACCATGGGGGGCCTTGGACCCTCCAACAGGCTTCTGCTCCTGCCTCTCCTTCTGACTGTGGGTGGTGAGTTGGGGGCTTCTGCAGCTGCCTCCTGAGTCCCTGAGCTCACCTTGGGGCAAGGCAGGGAGCAGGGTGGAAAGAGAGAACTAAAGGGGAAGGTTGGGACAGGAGCAGGTCCCCAGCTCCCCAAACCCTATGGGTCTCTCCCAGAACCTGAAACCTTAAGAGCTGGCCTCCGGTAGAAGCAGAGGGAGGGGACTCTAAGGGTATTACAACAGGACAAGTCGGTGTAGAAGTAACACAGTCCTGTGGACTTTGTGTCAGCCACAGGTCCGACCAGAGGCTGCTCCCCACCCTCGCGCCCCGCTGTCAGAGCCCACCCTCTCCAGCTTCTCTGCCCACCCTCCAGTCATAGCTCCACATCTCAGTTAACGTTCTTTTTCTTTCTTCAGGTCTCAGCCCTGTCCAGTCCCAGAGCGGTAGGCCTAGACCCTGAAATACCCCTCCCTACTTCTGAAGGACCTCCCTATCTCTTCCCAAATCTCTCCAAACCTCCCCCCCTGACACCTCCTCCCAAGTCCCACCTCCCACTGGCCTCCCCTGACTCCTGTGCCGTATACATTCCCAGACTGCAACTGCTCCGTGGTGAGCCCTGGTGTGCTGGCTGGGATCGTGCTGGGGGACCTGGTGCTTACCGTCCTCATTGCCCTGGTTGTGTACTCTCTGGGCCGGCTGGTCCCTCGGGGGAAAGGGGCTGTGGAGGGTGAGTGGGGCTGGATGGGAATGGGACACTCTGAGCTGGCTGGTCCCTGGGGGAAAGGGGCTGTGGAGGGTGAGTGGGGCTGGATGGGAATGGGACACTCTGAGGATTTGTCTAGAGGGGAGAGGTAAGCTCCCAAGACAAGGGGATGGTGAAGGAGGGCTTGATTCCACATCAAATAATCCCAATTCACCACCTGCCTGCCTCTGCATCCGGTGTCCCTCCCCACCCCCAGCAGTGACCCGGAAACAGCGCATCACAGAGACAGAGTCGCCTTATCAGGTGAGGAAAACAGCTTCTCTTCTGTCTCACTCCTGCCCTGGGGGTGTCTGCCCTAAACAAGCCCCTACCCCAAGCCCCTACCTCTAGACCCTGAAGCCACTTTCTCAGCAGCTTCACAAACCCTTGAAGACTAATGGGGCGTCTGTCCAAAACTAATCCAACGAATAATCATGACTTTATGCTCAGTTTAAAATGTGTGGAGAGGAAAATGTAGGGATGGCTTACCTTTGCAAAGGCAAATGCAGGCCTTAGCCAGAAGGCAGTCTCCACACTGTTCTTGAAGAGCCCAGCCCAGGACAGACTGCAGTAAGGGAGAGGCTCTCATCAGGACAGAGAATATAACCCAGTTCTAGTCTGGTAACTCTAAAGAGAGTTCTAAAATTTGGGGGTGGGGGGTGGGATCCTACATCCCTCTGAAAAACGAATGAAAGCTAGAGACTCTTCAGAAAAAGCCACGCAAAAAATACAAAATTGTGCATATAATTGAGGAGTGGTGCAAATATCCTTGAAACCCTTCTTAAGGACCATGATGCAGATAGGGGCATCTTTCCACCTCCTGCCTCTCTGTCACCATAGTTCTTAACTCTTTAGGGGGTCATGAGCTCCTCTGTGAATCCAATGGAAGCCAAACAGGCCCCTCTCTAGAAGGATGCTCACCCAGACAGGCCATATGCATAGATGATTTCAGGGGTTCTGTGTGATGCCTGCCTTTTGGGGCCAGAGACCCCCGTCTGCAACTGTGAGCCCTGCTCTGGGAAACCTGCTTTACTTGTCCACAACCAGCTTTGCTTTGCCTTACTTGTGATAAAAAGTCTCTTTGTCAACTGAGAGGATCTGAGTGTAGCCCTGTGAGGTCCAGAAGACTGAAGGAGCTTTCCAGTTCCTGGGGGCAGTGAAATATCAGGGCAAAGCACTGCTCTGCTTCATTTGTTGAGCACCTACATGTACTGGATACCGAGGACACGGCAGCAGAGCCTATGTCCCAGCTGGGGAAACAGACTTGAAACAAATTAACAAATAAGGTTATTTTGGAAGTCATCATGAAGGGATAAAGCAGGCTGAGGTAAAGGTGTGGGGTGGGGTGGGGTGGGGTGAAGGAGCTACAGATGAGGGAAATCAAGAAACACCTTACTGAGGAAGTGACAGGCTAAGATTTGAAGGGGGAGTGGAACCATCCATGGAAGTATTTAGGGGACCAGTGTTCCAAGCAGAGAGGACAGGATGTGCAAAGACTCTGAGGCTGGGGCCTAATGATGAACAGAGGAGAAAGGGGACCTTGCAAGGCACCTGAATAAAATCGAGATGTCTAACAAGGCTGCGAGGTTGAAGAAGCTACCAGGGGACTTGCAGGCCACTGGGAGAAGACCAGATTTGGTTTTAAGTTTATTTGGTGGACCCCTTCCATGGATGGTTCCCACACTGTCCATCCCTTTAGGAGCTCCAAGGTCAGAGGTCAGATGTCTACAGTGACCTCAACACACAGAGGCAATATTACAAGTGAGCCTAAACCATGGCAGTCAACAGCCTGATGCTTGGATCCAGTCATTCCTGACGCCTACCCAGCACCTTGCTCCTACTCCCACCAAGATACAGACCCACGGAGTGCCCTTTCTGAGATGTCAGACCTTCCCCCACCCCTGCCCCCAAATAAACACGGAGCACGAAACACTGCTGAGCTATTCCAGATCTTTGGGCTGAGAAGATGGGGATCTGTGGGGTTCTGGGAGGATGGGTCATGGACCCAGAAACAGGTAAATGGGAGGGAGGCTTTGGAGACGCTGGGTTTGCTGGGTTCTTTGAGAAATAATTACAAGTAGAGGTATTTCAGTTGCTTTATTCCAATCCAAACGGGGGAGTGGGTTTCCTGTGCCACCACACACAATCCAGGATGAGAGGGTCAGAAGTCAAAGGTCCCAGTTCCAGGGGGTCAGCCCCTGCCAGGCATGTTGATGTAGACCTTGCCATCTTCTGAGGGTGGGGAAGAGAAAGCATGAGGCTTGACCACCCACCACCCACCCACATCTTCACCTCCCTGGGGACCCCCTGTCTCAGGGGTTTCCTCAGGAGTTCCCCCAGCAGTACCCCCAGGGTTTCCCCAGCAGTACCTCCAGGGCTTCCCCGGGGGCCCCCTCCATGGGAACCTCTTCCCGAGGGACACCGCCCCCACTCCAGGCCCTGCCCTCACCTTGGGTGGGCCTGTGGCGTAGGCCGGCACACAAAAACACCGCCACCACGATGAGCAGAGATACCACAGCATCCGCAGCCACAAGCCCCCCCAGGAGTGGGAGGGGGAGGGGCCCACACCCGGAACAGGAACCTGGAGGGTGGGGTCCAAAACAAGAAGGCAGCTTGAGGGGGTTCCAGGCTTTCAGGGCTGTGCTTTGAGCATATGGGCAGAGGAAGTCCCTGAGGGGTGACCCAGGTTCCCTGGGGTTGCACTTGGGGGATAAAAAAGGAGATGGGGGTCCAGAGTCTGGGGTATCCCAGCATCCTGAGACCTGCTGTGCTTTGGGCATAGTGGGTCCTCCTGGGGCCAAGTCCCTGGGGCTGCAGTTTGGTGAAAAGGGCAGTGAGAAAGGGACCTGGGGAGGGCTGAAGATCCTCTGGGGCTCGATTTGGAATGTGAAGTGAGATGGTAACCTGGAGAGCTGCCGGGGGTATTCCAGGATAGGATCCTCAAGCTATACTTTAGGGATGGAGACGACCTGAAGTAGCATGGCAGTGGGGAAGGAGTGTTGCTTTCTCACCTGGGGTTACCTGAGCTGCCGCCACTGTGGAGAGAGATGGGAGGTAATCAGCCAGGGGAGGTGGTTCCCGGAATAGAGCGCAGGGAAAGGTAATGTCCTGAGAAGTAGGCTCCACTTCCAAAGATCAGATGAGTAGGAGGGGCCAAATGGGAGGGGAGCTCCCAGAGAAGCAGGAAGAGGCAGGAAATCGGAAGCAGCAGAGACCCAGCAGTGAGAAGGCGAGGCTAACAGGCAGGCACTCCAGAACCTGGCTTCCCTCCCCTAGAACCAGGCCCCAAAGCCAAATGGGTCTCCTGGAAGGGAAGGGAAGGGTCACTGGGAGAAGGACCCGCCCTTGGCATCCGTGTCTTCACCCAAGCCATCCCTTTCACAAATCCTCTGCCTGCCGCGCCCCCCCCCCCCC